TTTAGCCTAACTCCGTCTAACTTCGCCGTACTTGGTGTCAGAAGTCTTGAGTTACGTTGTAGAAGTAAAGAGGTTAAGGCGTGATGGGGTTTTGATGCCCAAAGGAGGGTCATTGTTGGTGGAGTAATCGAGGTGTCGCGACGTAGTTCGTGACAGGTGACTAGGGGTGATCGGATTGCGTTTCCAAATCACAAGACATCCTGAGCAGGAGGGTTATCATATTTGAAGGAAACCTGCTCTCTAATTACTCTGGTTGCAAATTGGGTTTGAAAAAACTCCTGAGCGTGTGTGGATGGATATATCCCGAGGCGATTACCAGTGCATTGTCGTCCACAATCAGAATGAGATTGCTGCTAGGATTGATACTAATGCGGGAACAGAGGTAAGGCAATCATATGATCGAAGGTTTGGTAATATCACAGCTACACTATTGTTTGATGAAGGGGACGCTGGAGAGAAGTTCTGGGTCCGACACGGGCCTGATGGTCAAGAGAGAACCGGTGTGGGAACACCACCTCCACCAGAGGTCGATGACTGGCTTTTGTGGGTACCAGAAGGAAATAATGGCACTACTCAAGACGCGGACCCCGCTTGAGCTCGATGAATTTTCATATGATGACGGACTGCATTCGACTATATCCCGTGGTTCGATGAGCTACTTGTATGTTTCATTGACCATCATTGACCAATCCCACCTTAGATCACTTATCCTTCATATTTAGAAAACGCTAGAAAGTCCAGGGGCAGGGTCTCGAGCTCCACGGTTCCACCTAAGCTACAAACTCGATGCCCATTCGATTTCCCATCGGTCCTTTCATCGCGTCAAATTCCATGTCCGCTCCACCTTAAATACTTCACCTTGTTGTCTTCTTCTCATTTAGTCAATCACTCACCACTTGGACAAGATTCATAATGGATCCAAGATGAATATCTTACCGTTCAGTGACAGCAATCGCGTGCAGACATTCTGGTATCTGAGAAACTCCTGTATTAGAGGCTCCCCGATAGAATTCCCCCCAGAATCAGTGGATGCATGGTCAAAGGGCCAAGCAGCCTTCAACAAGGAATGGTTGATTCTTGGCCCAGATGAGCCGCTTATCAAAGTTGCCCAGAGTATTGTCAACTTGTCATATGAAGAAATGAAAGCTGGATTTGATGCTCAATACTCTACAATACCAGAAGGTGGATATCCGCAAGACAGATTTACAGACCAAAGTATAATTTGTGAGGACATCTTAAGTGGGACAAGGCTGGAGTCAGTGCATCACTTACAGGGAAGATCAAATGCCTCGGTCATACAAGAATCAACAGGTTTGACCGTATTTACTATTCAGAAGTCGAATCACTCATCCACAACAGTAGCCTGTCTGACAACATCTCATTGTACAGCTGAGTTGCAAACTACTGAAATGAAACGGTCT